TACACGTCTGAGCTGTGCAGTTAGATCCTGTAGACCCTGTACTAAATACATAAAAAAAGAGCAACACAAAACTGAATTAACCAGAGTTGCTTCTTCAAAAGGATAAATAAGACTGATATAGCCAAAATAATAATAAAAAATGGAAAGAAAACTCAAGTTAGTAAAACTGGAGATGGAAACATTGATACTCACATCACTGAGAACCAAACAAAAGATACATTAGAATTAATTCACAGATTAGGAAAAATGGATAAATTTCTAGATACACATGACTGAAAAAAATAAACAAATGGGAGAAAATAAACAGATCAATGGCAGGACACCAGATTTTAGGAGCATTAAAATGTGTCATAAAACCAAAATTCAGAACCAGATGGATTCCCTGTTGGTTTTCTCCAGACCTTCAAATAATACAAGGCATCAATTTTCTTGAAAGTATTCCCTTGTATTCTGTCAGATGGAAAACAAAGGTGGATTCCCATAGTCATTTAATAAGGCTAATCCCACCATGGTAACAAAACTCAGTAAGACATACTATAAAAAGAAAGCACCATATCCATATTCTTGATGGATGGAAATGTGAAATTCCATAGCAAAAACACTTGTAAACTGAATTTAGAGATGAATGATAAATGTCTTGAGTTATGACCAATAGTTATTCATTCTGGGATATATGGATGTAGTTTTTGTTATTTTTCAAGATATGTGAAACAATAAACGTAATATTCAATATAAATAGAATCAAGGAAATAAAACATGACACCATCCAACTGATGCAACAAAAGACAAAATGCAACATACCTTTATTGCAAAAAGCTGTGAAGAAAACAATGAAAGATTCTACCTGGTTATAACAAATACTATGTGCAAGAACAAATAGCCAATACAATATTGCATGAACACAATATTAATATAGTCTTACTGATAAGAGAAAGGGATCCATTCCTTCCACATCTACTTAATATACTAAATAAAATTTCAAGCAAAACAGTTGGTTGATTATTTTATTAGGAAAAATAATTAAAAATTGCAAATATAAAAGTAATAAAATATATCTTACATGAATAGAATTTGACTGTGTTTCTTTCTTTTTTTTTAATTTTTATTTATTTATTTGAGAGAGAGAGAGAGAGAGAGAGAGAGAGAAAGAGTGTGTGGCCAGCTCAGCCCACCAGGGGGCAGGGCTGGCTGGCATGTGGTGCTGGGGGATTGAACCGCGGTCCCTGATGCTTTTGCTAAGCTTGTTCCAAGTAGGTGCTTTAGACCACTGAGCCATCTCTCCAGCCCCTGACTGTGTTTCAAAGATACTAAAAAGACTCCATCAGAAAACTTTTAGAGTTGATATATGAATTTAATAAAGTATCATGATCCAAAATTAGTATTAATGTGTGCCTATTTTTCTGTAAATCATTATGAAGTATTTGAGAAAAAAATCAAGAAAACTATTCTATTCAAAATAGCATCAAAAGATCCAGCCTGGCAGCTCAGCAGACTTAAGTGTCTTCTTAGCGGAGTGTAGTGGCCTGGGTTCGATCCCCAGTATGCTGTGCTGGCCCAGCCTGAGGGGCACCTGAGTCCGTAATTAAGACTGGGTGTGCTGATACCTGCCTGCAATCCCAGCATTTGGGAGGCTAAAAAACAGGGGAATCACTGAGTCTGATGTAGTAGTGAGACCCTGTAGACCCTGCACTAAATACAGAAAGAAAAAGAATAACATCAAAAGAATAAAATATATAGGAATCAACCTAACCATGCATATAAAAATACTCTATGAAGTTTATTACAGAATATGATTGAACTTGACAAAGGTACTTAAATACTCAAATGCTCAGGCACTGAGAAAATTAATATGGTTAAAATGTCCATGTAACCAATTAGAGGTGTAAAGCAATCCATATCAACATTTTAAAGACATTCTTCACATAAATAAAAAAAAGTCTTCATTTGGTGTTGAAATACAAAGTATACAGCAAAACAAAGCAAGTCTGAGCAAAAAGCCCAAGAAGGTAGCCATCAGAATTCCTCATTTCAATTTATATTACAAGGTCATAGTAAGAAAAAATATTACTATACTGGTACAAAATAGAAGTAAATATAGAACACAGAAAAGTACCTCCATGACTATAGTCAATTGCCCTTGCCAGTGTGGACAACATGTATTGAAAAAATGTAGCCTCTTTAATGAAGTGGTTCTTGTAAAACTAATACTTACATTTGAATAATTATGTTAAGAAGAAAAAAAGAAAGTATAAAGCAAAATATAACATAAAATATTATTAGAAAAAAACTTTATATGCATGATTCAATATATAAATTATTTCCTGAAATGTGAATAACTGGGTAAAGGATCACACAATATGATGGCAGAAAATATCTTGGGAATATACACATAAGAGGGATAGATGGATAAAATGAAATTTCTTTGTATAGATTTTTGAGAAATCTCTATACTGATGTCTATAGTCATTGTTCTAGTTCATGTTCCCACCATCCATGCAAAAGGATAGCTTTTTAAACCACAACCTCACCAGCATAGGTATTTTTTTTGTTTTGAGTTCTTGATGACAAGTATTCATTCTTCAATTAAATGAAAACAATTTATAGTTTTGATTTGCATTTCTCAAAGGACCCAATATGGTGAACAGTTTTGAATGAACTTGCTGGCTATTTGCACTTCTTTTGTGTAGTATCTAGTCACCACAAGGGCCCGTTTATGACTTGAACTTTTATCATCTCATGTCATATTCATGCAAGACTAATCAAATGCCAGGAGCTAAGTCTTGGAGGAAGCCTACAGGACCAGCACCAGGTTGATAAAGAAAATGTGGTACGTGCACAGTGGAATATTACTCTGCATCAAGAAGAATAAATCCAAATCCTTTTTAGTGGAACACATGCACCTTGAGATCATAATATTTAATGCAATATGTCTGACACAGGAGTTTAAACATCACTTGATTTATTTTCTACAAGAAACTCAGCAAACAAATAATTTGAAGCTTAAATATAACAGAGATGATAGGAAATAGGAATGAAGACTTGGTGGAGACTCAAAGTCCACCTATGATGGAAAATGATGGGAGGTAATGAAGGAAAGGGAACTAAAAGAGTTTAAGATGGGTCAGATATTTTCCAACTTTGCACAATGAGTTTTCCTGTCTATTGCAATTGTGTATTGATTAACATTTTAAAAACCTGAAAAACAAATATGAAAGTTTGATTTTCCAGCTTATTAAAAAGGAATAGTATGAATGCTTAAGCTTATTGTAACCACAGATCTTGACACATTGAGTGCAGAGAACAGAAATTGAGTTTTTCATCTTTCTGGTCAGTGTGTGCTAATGGATTCTACCTTCTGATTTATGGTGGGACTAAAATGAGGAGAGAAGAACTGGGGAAGCGCCCAGAAGGGGACAGCCATGCTGCAGGAGTGGTGTCTCTCCACTGTGTGGTGGGTTATTGTTCATGCATTCTGGTAAGTGGTCAGACACAGAGGCTGTCGAGAATACCACTATGGAGGCAGAGCTATGTGGAGGACCCGGGTGTCGACCCGAGCTTCTCTCTGAGGAAGACCCTGCAGTGTGTGGTTCCCACAGTGGGTGTCTTGGAGAAACCACAAAAGTGACACAAGATAGGCACACGCCATGAGAGTGAGTTACAATGAATCCTGTCAGCACTGGGACATCTGTGACAGGACTTCACCATCAGCAATATCAGAGCATTTTGTTTTCTGGGTCCTTTTACCCAGCTCCAACCTCCTTACAGAAATGGAGATTACAAAACTTGAGGGAGGGACCTTGCAAACACTGTCCATGTCTGCCTTTCCTGCTGCATCCCTTGAACCACTATAGGGGGAAGAGAATGTGATATGGCCAAGTATGCTGCTGAGTTGGGCTTTGACTGCCTGGATTTTTAGAGGCAGAGTGAACAGAACATACAGAGAGTTTCCAAGTGATGCGAGGTCCTGCAGAGGAACACAGCTGAAGACAAGAGGTACAGGAATCTATAGCCAGCTTTTTTCCTAATAGTGTTTAAATGGCCTAGAAAATCCATGCGACAGAAGCATGGAAGTGACGGAACTGGTGTCATCTGTCAAAATATTCTGAAAGTTAGGTCATAGAAGATAACTGGCCTTCCTGAAAAATTCTGAAAATGCACTCTTTCTAGCATGACTATACTGATTAATCATTCTTTATAGCTGAGTAATGCTCCACTGTATAAAAATACCACATCTTTTTCATTCACTCCTCAGGTGACAGGCATTTTGGTTGTTTCCAAGATTTGGCTATACTGATTAATCATTATCTAATACATATTAGCATAACATAATTCATATTAGTACAGTGTGATTGTAAATACTTATTTGTCATAGTTAGAAAGGTAGTTTCTAAGCTTTCTATCACAGATTTTTCTTTTAAATTTTTTATAGAGAGTAAAAATAAAAAAAAAAAACCTTTAGAATTGGATAATTTTACTGCTGATTTCTGCTGGTCTATTGAAAGAGCAGTTGATGATTAATTCTTTTCTCTCCTTTTAAAATATTTTAGGGGCCGGGGAGATGGCTCAGTGGAATAAACACTTCCCTGGCAAGCACAAGGGCCTGAGTTCAATCCCCGGTTCTGCCAAAAAAAAAAAAAAAAAAAAAAAAAAAAAAAAAAAAAAAAAAGTAAAACTAAATAAAATATTTTATAATTTCATGACCAATTTTACATGTGTATGTCTGGTAATACGAACAATTAATTTGAAGACAATGCAATATAAAAAACCTTTACTGAATTCTTATCATTTTGCTTTGTGAGATGACTCGAGTGTGATGAGATTTACTTTTCATTAAAATGAATAAAGAAGTCATTGACCAATAGACTTTTAAGATTTTGACAATGATAAAAGTTAGTTTTAATTTTTTTAATGAAATGACACTTTAAATTTATTCTCAAGCATGCTTTAAAATTTTAATGTGCAAGTTAGTCATTTCAAAGAAAGCATCATTATGAGCCATGTTAGAAATGAAATGAGCAGATAGAGAGCTTGCAGTTTTCTTCAGTAGATTCCTGACACTTCAGGTGCTGCAGAAGAATGCTGATTCTCCCTGCATCACCGAATAGGCAGTGCAGGGTGTTGTAAAATGTAAACAGGCGAGTCGGTTCTTCAAAGGATTTAAAGACTTGAAGTCCTGGCCACAAAGCATAGTCCACATTTTCTGCAATTTCAGTATCATACTAGACAACAAAAAGACAATCACTTGTAAATAATATTTATACTTTTTATTCTTGTTCAATTTATATTTTGGAGTTTAAGATTTTGGGGATCTTGGGAAAATTTACATTTGGGAAGTGATAGAAATAAAATATTTTAGCCAAAGTATAAGTTTTCATATACTCTTTCCAATGCATCCTAAATCTATTTGCCATCTGAAACTAGAAGCAAAACACAGGCACTGTTGTTCTTTTTTTTCTTTACCTTTGAGTATTTTAGGTGAAGTATGTTCCTGTAGCAGTAGATAAGAGATCCACAGTGATGCCTCTTGAACTCAGACAGGGACCAAGACATAGAATGGATCAAGGAGTGATGTGGGGGCTGGCTTCTATTCTTGTGCTGAAGGACAGTTTTTATTTCCTGAAGTTTGGCCCTGCTATTCCACCTATATTGCACTTCATCTGATTTGCTTGTTTTTACTTTGAACTGAAACTATTTTGAATACTGTGTTTTTGCCAAGATTTTAGAGATGGCGACTACTGCACTTAGTTCTTTAATGTGCTGACCAAGTCATGACTGAAAAATATTAGGATCTCTTATTCCACCCAGTAAATACATCCCACATTTCCATGTGAAATAGTTGCTTTCTTTTGAGTACCTAGATAGGAGTTACTAAGAACAGAATGTGCATTCCCAGGGTCCCAGAAGCAACTGGCATGGCACAGTCTGTGCTGTGGAGTGGAATGAGACTGCTCAGCAAAGCACTGTGTAGTCAAGAGAGAGGGCAGGGGCCCCTGTGCCCTGCATAGGCCTCTGCAAGCTGGGCGACCCTCAGATCCCAGAGCCCCAGTAACACTGTGATGCCTCTGAAGAGGCCTGCTCATTTCCAGAGCTGCAGGGTGCAAATATGGGCAAACTGTAGAACTTGGCCTGTTGTACACTCCTGCAGAGTATAAGAATATATTTTACTAAAATTTGAAACATGCTTGTTTATATTTTATCTTGGCTTCTTATATTTAATTAACATTTGGAGCTTGAGAGCTATGAAAATGTTTCCTAAAAAATGTACAATGATGTGGAAATAAAGAACCTAAAATCAGTCATAATAGAGCAAATTAGTGACCTCTGGTAGCTGACTCACAGCAAGGAGGAAAATACCTTGAAATTACTATGTTTGTTTCCTATGATATTTGGCCAATATATTCCTTCTCTTTATGTTAGACATAGCTATTGAATATAAAATGACAAAATATGACCTATTAAAATATGAGAAATATAAATTGCTTAGGTTATTTCTAAAGTTAAATATTATTTCCTCTTTTTTTCCTGAGACTATCAGAAAGGGGGTTATCTTTTAGCTCACAAATGTTGGAATTTTAATTATATAAATTAAATATTAGTTAACTATACAAATGGGAATATATATTTTAAATATCAATTCAACCTAGAAATGGTAAAGTATTTCTGAAGATTAAATGCATGAAATATATTTTTATTTAGGAGTAGCAATAAAATAAACGTTTATGATGATATTCTATAAATTATAGTATAAGAAGTATTTCTGGATAGAAATATTACTCCTCTTGTGATGCTCTAATGTCTGGTGCATCTGGGCCAGCACTGATGATGTGGCCTCAGGCTGCTCCTCTCAGGGTCTGGAGTGGAACATTCCATATGGTTTCCACATTTTCCTTTTTTGTTTCCAACTCTACTCTTGTGCGAGGAGGGAAGAGAAAGAATATGACCAGAATTCCTGTAGTTTTCCTGAGGGCTTTTGAAGAAAACATTTCCTTCACACTTCTGCTCTGATTTTCTTTCCTGAAAAATGGTTAACCACTGATCTCACATTCTCCTTGGGGACTCTGAGACTGTGCAGGGAAGAGAGCCCCTGTCACACTAGCAAAGGTTAATACTCACTTGCATTAGAATTTGCACTGTTGCTGTCTAGGACTCTTATTTTGTTTAATAACAGAGTAGAAGATGGATCATTGGACCTCAGTGTTGTTTATGCAAAGTGAGAGAGTCAGATCATTTCTCTCTGCAGAAGGAAACTCATTTTTGGAAAACCAAGGAAGCATGAAAGTCTGCTCACCTTGCTGGCTATCTCACTTGTGATATCTTGAAGTTCGTAGTTTTCTTCAGCAATAATCTCTGCTTGGAGTGTGAGAGAATGATTGAATTTTGGCAGGTGTTTTGCTTCCTGGGTCAGGTACCTCAGGGGTTCATTCCAGGAATGCAGCAAGCGGAGCACCATATCGATAATATCTTTATTCTATGAAGGCAGTTTTGAAGCAATAACATTAGAATAGTTTAGATGTAGCTGGAATATTTACAGTACATATGGCATTTGATCACAGAAGCCAAAATAACATGTATCTGTTGTTCCTGTGTGTATGTAAAGTTTTTCTGTAATTGGTATAAATTGGAAGAAAATATGATTTCAGTTATTGGTCTACACTGTGCTATAAGACAAACAAATAGAAATGGCTATGGAAATAACTTGTTTTCTAAGGCAGGTTCCAATGCACATCGTTTGCTTTATTTTTCCACCTGGAATTTCTGCTTGTTAAGAAATAACATTTTGTTCTTGAGGTAGACTCAGAAGACAGAGATGGTCACAGAAAAACACCAGAGCACATTTAAGTGGCACGCAGGGTTTGTTGTCATAACAGAGGATGGAGCTGCATCGTGAGAAACACTATATGACACTGAACAGGACGTGTACAGGGCTGGCTTCTGGCTAACCTCAGAGAAGGCAGGGGAGGAGTGCAGCGTGAAGAGTGTGGCATCAGGGAAGCAGGAGGAAGAGAGGGTTGAAAGCTGAGAGAAGAGACCGCAGGTCACACAGGGCTCAGGAGTGAATAAGCACTGTCAGTTCAGGAGTCACTTGTCACAGGTAGTAAAACAGAATCTGTTTCTTCCATTTCTCCATGAATATCCCATGCAGTTCCAGCTTCCTCACAGTATGTATATTGTATAGTGGGCACAGGACTTCAGTAAAAATGTATCATACGTATGGCTCCTTGGTGGTACAAACTTCTTTTAGCATTTGCTTTTATGGATAGTCTATCATCTAAATAGAGTCCTTCTCTTTGTTCCTTGCGTTTGCTCCCTCTTTGCCTTCATGTGTGACTAGTGCTACCGCTGACCTCAGAGCCTTCCAGAGGCTGGGCCAGGGCACAGCCCGCGCCCTGCATCAGCTGCCCTGGTGGAGCCAGGCTACAGACTGACCTGCATTTGCTTGGCCTCTCTCCTCCCTGCTGGAGTACGGATGATAAAGGTGTGGCACGTTTTCATGGCTGGTTTGAAGAAAGATGGGCTGCGGGAAAACTGCTTTTTCTGAAAACATTAAAACATTTTAGTTAGTTGGGACTTGCAAATCGAAGGCATCAATATGTTGTGAAAACATTGATATATTTGATCGAAGTGTAAAATTTTGTGAAACATTAGAAACACTTTAATACTGAACCTAAAGAATTAGGAAAGCAACTATTTTGTCTGGGGTTCCCAGTTAGCTCTGAAACCTCTTTTTAACTCATTTTCTAACCTCTCCCCTTATTCTCTTCTCTGCTATGCCCCTATTGTTCCATCTTTCTACATGTTACTATTTAAAATGCAAATCATAAAGTAGTAAAAACCACAAAAGTGTTAGTAATGTAGGGGTCATTTTCTCTAGTATTTGAGCCCCAAACCGCATTGTATATACATCTATAATTATCCGTTTAATCTCATTTTCCTCTGTTTAAAGACTAATATACTCTCTTCGAATGAACATTAGAACTCATGTTTTTTTATCAATTGCCTCTTAATCCATAAGCATGAATAGTGAATCTTGCATCATAAATTAAAATACAAAGACTTTTATTTTGACAAGTTATTAGAAGAACGCAACATAAAATTATAGGAAATCATAAAAAGCAGACTGACTACTGTGCTGGCCCCACCCCTGGGGGAGCGCCAAACAGCAATTAAAACTTGGCGTGGTGTCGTACACCTGTAATCCCAGCGCTTGGGAGGCTGCAAACAGAAGGATCGCTACAGTCCCATCTAGTAATGAGACCCTGAACACTCTGTGGACCCTGCCCTAAAATATGGATTTTTTTTAAAGAAAAGAACTAAAATTAAACTAAAGAGAAATATACTGAGAGATATTAAGCCAAACTTGTGAAAGTTTAAAGTTATTAATAGGATGATTTGGAAGTTAAAGATGGCCTGGTGAAAATGGGGAATGAAAGAAGCAGGAGTGAATAAGAAGAATTGTGGGAATGGCGTGTATCACAAATACTGGTCCCTGTTTTCCCTGGAGTGCCTTTGTTGTTCCAAACCCTGATGTGTTGTCTGACCTGGAAGAAAGAACAGTGTTCAGATGCTTAGGGAGGAAAAGAGGACTTGTGTCCTTTTTGAAACTGCCCTTTCTGTTCTACATACCAGCTCCTATTTTTGTTGTTGTTTGCTTTTGGTTTTTGGCGGTACCAGGCATTGGACTCAGGCCCTTACACTTGCCAAGGAAGCACTTACTCCACTGAGCCATCTCCCCATCCCACTACTGGCGTTTCTAACAGCTATTTACAAGTATATTTGTTTTCTTACAATGCGATTTCAGTTGTATTAACTGTTTTCACTCCCCAACTGAGTGCAAAACTGTCCTCACTATTTGCACACCCACAGTGTGCTCCGTGAAGAGCCCCTATGCACTGGCCTGTGCACACGAGCAGGAGATCAGGGCTGCTCCTCAGGCCTTCTTAAGAGTGACACTGATCAGGTTTCTAAACTGTTAACACTTAAATGTATTAAAGGAAGTGTTAGAAAATCTTTAATTCTTTTCAAAACTAAGATTTCATAAATTTTCCCTTTCTTATTCTGATATTAATGGTTGATACAGTTATTGTATTTTAATATACATTATTTGAAATTTGGTCATTGCATTCCCTATATTTATATTGTAATGTGGCCCTTACTTTTGTGAATGTTCCTTTTTGGGAAGAAATGAAAGTGAGACACTTACAAAATCCCGAATCAGTAGAAAAGATCTGGCGTACATGGCTGTAGACAAGCTTGTTGCCTCATGGTACAGATTCTCCAGGTTCACCGGGCATCTGTCACCCTCAAGGCAGGTGGGAGGGGAAGTCACATTCCAGCACAGGCCCATGGTTGACATGATCAACAGCAGGAGAGATTCTGCTTAAAAAAATCCAGCAGACTCTGGGATGTTTGTTTGACTAGGTCATCACAAGCCAGCTCCCCAGGGGAGTCTGGTGTGTTTCCATTGCCTCCAAGAAGGACTTAGTACTCCAAGAGCTCAGATAGGAAGAACCAAAACCTACCGCTGTGTCCGTGTAGACCAGTTGTATCTCCACAGTCTGACAATTGGGTGACCCTTATATTTTTGTGTTACTCTCCCAAGTGCCTCTGCACCATGCAAACTTTTGGAAGTTGAATTAAATCTGATTCAAGACTTAACACATTCCTTGAAATAGTTTAATATCTTGTGCATTTCTGCAGCTTATCACCAGGCACAAGCCTAGGAGTATGTGCTTCTTTTAACTCATACACAGACATAAACATCTTAAACCATTAAAAGAGAGCATCACATTTTATCTGTGTTTCATTCATTTTTGTGCTTAATAAAAATAGTACAGGAATTCTTGGCTACTGATACTGAGTGAGAGGAGAATCTTTTCACAAAAATGATGCCATGGCCTGATTTCCTAACTCACTATGAATTTGTTTCACATTTAGATAAAAATTTTAGGTACTTCATACATTTGAGTTCATAACAGCCCTGAAAGATAAATAGGTCCTTCACAATAATCATCAAATATGCTGAAATAAAGGACTCAGAGCAGCAAAGTTTATTTATTTATTTATTTATTTTTAGAGTGCTACGGTTAGCAAGTGCGGCAGGGTGTGCGACATCCGTGCCGCAGTCTGTGCCCTGCACCTGTCACGTCCTGCGCAGCTCTGGGTGCTCTGTCTGCATCTGCGCCTCAGAGCCCTTGTCTGTGATCAGGGGTGCGTCGTGTGAGAGGTCACTGTCTTTCCTGAGAAGGATGGCTCCTTGTGTTCTGTAGCAGAAGCAAAGGCGCCGTCTGAAGCTAGTGAGTATCTACTTTCTTTACTTATAAAATTCCCATTTTAAAAATCTTTGTCACTGATGTGAGGGGGATTCTTCACTTCACATTTTCACTGAATCAGTAAAAGTAGAGATACGAGTTTCTGTCTTATCAGTTATATGCACTCACAATTGAAATGGCGCAGTGCTGAATTTTCATAGAAGATAAGCTTTTACCTTTTGTGACTTCAAAAGGATTTCTGTTATAAAAGTATAATAAGAAGAACACTATAACACTTGGTAACACAGTTGCTATTCTTAAAAATAAAACAAAGTGAATGTTAAAGATACATATAGAATATATATACAGTTAATTATATATATATTATATATATTATATATTTAATAGTTAATTATCATAGCATATAATAAAATTTTGGTTGCAAAATTAAAGTAATGTGATATGTATTATTTCACAACATTTTCTTTTCTGAAATACCTAGAATCAAAAATCATACATTACACATTTTGTGCTACTTTGATATTGATAAGTAGAGACATTATGCATACATACAAAATATGTCCTTGTCCATAGACAGCCTACGACAGGCGCGTCAGGAAATGTGTAAGTGGATGAGTGTTCCTCGGCTATGAGCACATTGTCTGCACATTGGACTGATGCTTACAGTCTATGATTCCTTAAAATACACATATTTATGTGTTTATGGCATGCAAAATTTATGATTTTTGTTAATTTATTTTATACAAAAATCTCAAAGGAGGGCCAGCGATATAGCTCAGTGGTCTAAAGAGCCTGCTTAGGCAGGCTTTGGTAAGCTGCAAGGATCAGCGTTCAATACGTGGCACCACATGGTGCACCGGTCCAGCCTGGTTTGAGCTAGGCAAACACACACACCCCCACATACAAAAATCTCAAAGGAATTAAAGGACACCATCACTAGTGTGCATATTATTTTGAAAACTGTTTGGCTTGAATGAAACTAACAAAGCAGTATAAGATTCATGTATGACATTTTTGGCATCATAAGTTCCACAATAAAATTATCATTATGTTTATTCAAGTTGGGCAAATTTCATAAAAGACCAGGGTAGTAGAATTGTTAGGTCCTACTTTATGAAGCAAAAATCAGATCCATTGGCTTTTGAGTTCCAAAGTATCTAAAAGTACCCACTATGGCTTTTGGTACTAAATAATCCCTTACTCTGGGATCTGTCCTGCACATTAGACAATGCCTAGCAGCACCTTGCGCTGTATCCATGACACACCAACAGCACGCTGCCCCTGCCCCCATGATATCCACTAACATAGTGCACACATGCTGCAGCTACTGCCAGATGACCCAAATATCCAAAATGGGACCAGCATCGAAGCACTTTATTGTGACCTGTGGAATTCATTTCGAGAGAAATAAAACATGGACCATGAAACACTGTATTATTAGCTAAAAAGTCTACAGTAACTTATAGAAGACTGTTGATAAAACCAACAACTCCCTGAGCTATGGCACATACCTTTCCCTGTGTCATCCATGATGTGGACAGGACAGGAAGCACTCTTCACCAGAGGAGGACTGGCCGCCCACCTGCAGGGTCAGGAATTGTTTTCTGAACTTTGACATGTTCATACTCACAGTTAGTCAAGCTTCCTCCTTCCTTTACTATTTCCCCATATTCCATGTCAAAACTATTCTCAATATTTCACAAAATATTGTCTTATTTCTTTTTCATTTTAAGGAAGACATATAGACTACAAGTGAAGGATTTTGATCACTTTTCCTCACAGCAAATGGGAGTAATGATGAAAGTGAGTTCTGGAGATCTGGGTGGGTTGGAGGATCACTGCAAGCATAAGAATTATTTACTTTAAATTTACTCTTATTTCTTGAGTAGCTTCTTAAATAGATAGCATTATATTTCACCTAGGAAATGATCAATGTATTATCAAACACAAATTTTGTCCTTCAAAAATTGGTGAATTGTTTAAAAATATATACACTAAATTCTATACAACATATAAAAGAGTAAAAATATAATGTTACCCTCTCTTGTATAAATTACTTGGATTTAAAACTTTTTTCTTGTACTCGCATGTTCTATTTTGTTCTCCTTGAAATAAAATGTCTGTAGGGTAACTTGTTTTATATGTTCAATTCTTCATTACTTTTGTTTTAAACATATAGGTAAGTGTATATTATTATTCCCTGTATAGATTAAGGAGGATAGAAGAACTAAATCCCAAAGTGAAAAGTAGTTATTCTAGTCATGTACATTCAAATTGCATGACACAAAAATCATTACATTAAAGCGCCTATTGTAAAGATGGGAAAAATAAATAATTTCACACATATTATGTTTACACATACCTAATGATTAACTTTTGAAAGTTTGTTATGGGGTAGAACATAGCATATTTCCAGGCAAAGACACACACATGATCATATATACTCATATGTACCTGGTAGACAATGTGATAAACTAAATTTTTGTCCAATTCTTTCAAGCCTTTCAAGGTCAGTAAGGACTTAGGATATAGGAGAACCTGTACTGTAGCATCCTGTAATTCGCTTGTGTCCCAAATTTACTGATCAAGAAGATTATGGAGTCACAAAGGAAAGTAATGGATGGTGTAGAGTATGCCTAAGGAGAGTCACATGGAGAGAAAACATTCTCTCAGGCTTTCACAGCGAGCACATTGGCCAAACAATGACTGTGACTCACCCACATGATTGACACTGACAAAGGATATACAAACTGAGATACAGGGTCTCAGGATAAATCCTGAGGGGATTTGACTGACCTTATCAGATTCAAAATCTACAATTCTTATGATATAGGTATTGCTTTATCTTGGTCTTAACCATCCAGTAGAAAAGTATAAAAATGAGGTAAAAGTAAAGCCATATTAATATGCTGAGCTGTAAAAGGCTCAAGTCAACAATTGCTGACATTTCTAGTCCTATGGCTAACCCACTACTATTATGGACTACCGGACTATATTGGAATATTTTGCTGAATTCATGTACCTACAATATTTAAATGTCAATGGAATACCTATCTCTGACAAAACTAAATAAACAAGGCTATACAAATGAAGGATTATTTTGTATCTGTATATACAAAATAGTTAGTATAGATATACATCTACTTTCTCTTAATTCAATGAGAAGAAAGATTTGTACTAATGGTTTTGGACAGGATATCATGTCTGCCTCTTGTACTATGAATAACATTAAGATGACACAATATGTAATGTATTAATTATTGAAACTATCCTACTAATTGGTTTTGAAACTGTCTCATTGCTATTTGTTTCTCAATAAAATTATTTTTAAAAAAAATGAAAGAAAACATCGGTTGTGTGCTAGAGATACTGAAATTCTAGTAGTTGCTCTGCCCAATAATATATAGTTCACAGACTATAAGGAAATAAAAAGCAACACCACCCCACAGTCTAAAGCAGGAAACCTACCTGGAGTCCTTGGTATGAGGCTGTGTAGCAGAGGAAACTGGAGCTTCAATCTACAGCTACAGACACATTCTTTCATCCCCTTTTATTCTAACTGAGCTGCAAGCCTATTGGAGGATGTCACCCACAGTCACATTAGGGCCTCCTCAGTCAAGGTGGCAAACACATACCTATCATAGCGGACACATGTGTCAGGCAGATTGAGAGGTGGGCTTTGCTAATCTGCTGCTCATCACAAAATGTGGTCATGCAGACTTGTCCTGTTTAGCAGTCACAGGGCATCCCAGGTCGATTTCACAACGAAGCATTTCTCCTTAAAGCATAAATGATTTCCAAAGGCACGTCATACCATGTTTATAATTGCTTCTTGCATAATAATGGCAGTCTGGACTGAACTGAACCTTCACTTTTTCCTTACGCATTGGGAGGCAAACTTCCTTTCAGTAATGCTTATGGTTCTCTTGACTTCACTCAACTTGTAAAAAGTAGATTTAGTAACTTTAGACATGAAGTCTGTTATAATTGTGTTACTCATGCAGGAATACAATAAAAGACCCCCAAAAGATTCCACAGGGCTTCAAGAACCATCTTGGTTGCTCTGGGTTCTCTA